ACATAAAAGCATTTTTGAAAAATGTTAATTGCTACACACCCACAAAATTTTGTTTTAAAATGGAGACAGAATGATTTAGTGCTTTCAATTTTGCCCACATGTTTAAATGAAGACAACAAAGTACAATTTGTTAAAACATCAAGCCAGACCTTTTATGTTTTTCAAATATTAAAATAAAAGTTTTACAAACAAAAGAGTGTGAGCAAGTTGAATAAAGAGTGGTATTCTAAGTCTAAACATAATTTTAAGGTATTATGCTTTGACTGAAGAACTCCCCAATATAGTATATCCTACTCTTGTTTTTCTCTTCTAAAACAAGAAGAAAAGTTAGAATCACATCATCTCAATATCGGTGGTCTCACCAAACTATCCTTTTCTGAGTACAACAGACATTTGTAGAAAATAGTTAATTACCAATTAGATTAGCTATAGTTTCTCTATCACCTCTCTGTTGTCTTATCTATTTACTCAGCCTCAATTTCATTTTGTTAGTAGTCTTCATATGTAAAAAAAATGAGTATATATCCTTCATAATGACTATATATTATATAGTACCTATACTATAAAAACATATTATAGTCTTTCATAATTTCAATTAAAAATATAAATAGCTTCTTTCAAAAATTTCCTAAACCACTCAAACAGAAAATTCCGTGATGAAACTATAAAAATTAATCTAACACTAATTTCTGAATGTCCTAAACTACAGGGTCAGCAAACTACAATCCACAAGCCAAGTCCAGGCTTCTGCTTGGGGCTAAAGAACGATTTCTTACATTTTCAAATGTTATAAAGGAGGGAAAATACTTCATGACATGTGGAAATGACAAAGTTGAAATGTCCGCACCCATGCAAGCCATCAAGCTAATTCATCTACGTAAAAACCAGGGCTGTTGTGTGCTCCAGGGTAGGGCTGAACAGCTGTGACAGAGACTCTGCCCAAAATATCTATGCCCATCTGGTCCTTCAAGAAAAACTGTACCCGCCTCGCCTACAGCCCAAACTATCATGTACGCCTCAGTGCTGGGTACTGGATGGGCAAAGGACAGAAAAACAGAAACCACATTAAATATTTTATCAAATTTCATTATCACCAATTATATGAAGCACATTCAGGAACCACATCTAATGATAATCTAAAAGGTTTGTAATTATAAAGTATAAGGATAAAAGAATCACCAATTTTTTTAAAATAACAGAAGTACTTGGCTTAAAATAACAAAATCATAAGGTTTGTGAAATTCTTGGAAATTTTGTACACAGCAAAATATTTTATGCTTTGCTCACACACATTTAGTGGTGCTATTTAATCCTTCAGCATATAAATAAGCATTACTTGAAGGTAAAGATGATACCAAAACATTTATCAAATGAATTTTAAAATTTGGCTTCTTTGCAAATTTTACCATCCGAGAAAACTGTCTGCTCAGAAATTAGAGACCTAAATGTTTAGAACAGAAATTTCATTTTTGGTGGCGACACATGGTTTATAGAAAGCACAGCTAGTCCTCTGACCTTTGGTCCAGTTTTTCTTTCTTTCAAATTTCTCTACGAATTTACTAAGGCAAAGATCTATGCTAAATTATTGTAGGAATAATAACAAAGGGGTGTCATCCAAGTTTCCGATTATTATATCAACTGACAGCAAAGCACAGTAGACAAACCAGGGAAGAGGAATGTAAATCTTAGTATTAGCTTTGGAAACCACTTAATCCAGTCACTTATTTTAAATCTCAGACTGGTAATCTATAAAAATGCTACCCCAACACTTTACTTTGCTAATACCAAATTACTTAAACAGGAGGTTGGTGTCTCAAACTAGTCTGGGAGCACTTGTTAAACTCGAGTCCTAGGCCTTCTGGGAGGGATTCAGGAGGTCTGGGGCCAAGGAGTCTACGTCTTCGATACGTGCAAACAACCCACCTGCACCTCCAACCTGCTGAATCTGGCCCGGGTGAGAAGTGCCGACCTAGACAGTGCTTATCAAGGAGCAAGTTAAAGAAACATCTCGTAAAACACAAAGTGCTCTTCCATGTAGATATTATCAAAGGGAAAATCAACAAGGATAGAAGAGGAAAAGAAAAAAAAAGGAATACAAACAGAAAGCAAGAGCATTCCTATCTGTCAGCTTAATTTAACCACGTGACTGGGGGAGAAGACCCATCCTAATTAACTGTGAAACATAATATTTTGTCCATGTCACCCTTAGCCTTACTGATGACAAAGTGAGTGTAAACAATACCACGCTCTATTTGGTATGTCTGTCCTTCTCAGTGGTATGCATCAGCCCTTCCCAAACTCCCCTTTGTGTTCTCTAGGACTGAGCAAAAAGTGACACGTGAATGTGTGCTGTGGGGGAGAGAAGCAGGTTTCTCGCAGCTGGATTTGGGGGGCTATAATATACGGCAACGGACCCTGGGGTTCTGAACTAGAATGAGACACTTAGGACGAACACACAGTCAATATATGCACATACAGAGAGATGCAGGAAATGGATTTGTGCGTTTTATATACACACTTTGTGTGTGTGCGTGTGTGTGTGCGTGTGTGTGTGTGTGTGTGTGTGCACTACACATAGCTAGCTCTGTACACTGAGAAGCTTTCAGATACTGGTTTGTATTTTGTAAAGACCACTGTCTAAAAGAAAAGAAACTGTTCCCTCGGAGGAGTCCAAGGTTATATGAGGACAAGCGTAAGATCAACCTGCAACATCCCATAATGTTAGAAAGTGAGAAACCCCTGCAAAAAAAGATGGGAACACAATAAAAGAGCACAAGAGTCACCTTGAATAGGCTCCCCTGCTCAAGTATGGCTCAATCTGAGTGACACAGTAACAGTATCAACTGACTGTGTCCCACAAAGCGAGAATCCATGAGTCCACTTTGACAGGAAGGGAGGGAGGGAGGGAGGGAAGAAGAGGCGACAGGAAGGAAGGAGGACTGACAGAAGCGAAGCACTGCTACCTTAAACTACCAACACACAGGCAGAAGCCGAGCACAGAAAATGACACAGAGGCACTGGACTCCCCAAAACCATGCTGACAGGGAGCAGGCAGAGCCCCACGGCCGGCCAAGCACTGTCCGCAAGCTCAGCTCAGGGCCAGGCTCACAGTAGGCACTTCAGAAAGAAAGGGAAGGATTTCCTTCGAGGTCTGAGGTAAAATGTCTAAAGCAGTTCCCAAGTACCGCATTTCTAGGGTATCTATCTCTCCTCGGGTCCACTGACAAACATTAATATCTGAGCGCAAACAGCGCTGCCCCTCAGCAGATATTTCATAGGTTTTTAAATCCCTTGTGACTGTCAGCTTTTAGTTTCTTAAGAAATATGCTTGCTCAAGCGTGAACGCTTTTGAAAGATTTCTCTCTCAAATTCTCCAATGTAAGCAAAAGGTGATTTTGATGAAAAATCTGTCTAAAGTAATCACCACTGTGGATTTTCGCTGCTGTGAAAGGTCTCATTTGTTACACTGACCAGCTCCTTTCAATTCGAAGAGCCATACTTCATCATTATCAAATTCAGAGCCTTACTTAATTTGGAGGTATACTGCTTAAAAAGGACACAGAAATAGAATTCAAGGCAGAAATAAATAGCACGTGGTGATTGGTATACTGGACATATTGACCACATCATACAGAGGGATAATGTGGTGCCAAAAAATAAGAGTGCTTCCCAAACTGAGTGCAATATGATGAATTTTACTGTATTAATAATATTCAGAAACATGAGCCCAAAATAAAAGCAGGCCAAAAGAATCTGTCAAATAATTTGTCAAATAAGCAGGTTAATAGAAATACTTAATTTACCACTATTTTCTGTCTCCTTCTATTTGGAGAAATTAACCAATAACTGCTCTGGTGACTAAATGAATTTGAAATTATCGAGTATTGCTAAATTACTATTAAAAGTCAATGCTCTGAGACAGACAGACAATGATTTATTTATATAAATGTGTATATTTATTTATATATAAATTTCTTTTTCAGAGAATGAAGACCTCAAGACATAACTACAGTCCATGCATAACAGAATTTAAGCCCTTGCACAAGTTCACAGAACTTTAAAACTGAGCGCACTGCCCAGCCTGCAGGTAAGATTGGAAACTGTCTACCTTAGTAAAAGACAGACAGCATACCAAGCACCGCTGTAAGCACTGTAAGCATACAGTTTAGTGACACCACGTACGTTCATACTGCTCCAAAATGGTTTTCATCTTCTCAAACTGAAACTCTGTATCTCACACTCCCCTCCTCCCGGTCCTAGGCAGCCACTATTCTGCTTTCTGTCTCTATTCATCTGTTTTTAAAATGTTGATGAGCCCATGTTCGCGGCACACCATGTTCCCATTCCGGTGAGGGGTTAGTGCCTGTGCCTAGCACGTCTTAATTGCTTTCTTCAATCTCCTTCCCTCCTGTCCCTCTCCCCCTCCTTTGATTTCCCCCTTCCCATCTGAGAAAGATCCAGCTCCCTGCTTCCTACTACCTGTCTTTTATTTTTCTCTTTATTTGTAATTTGGGTTTTATGGACAGTTCTTAGCATACTTTCCTCAATGGTACGATCTCAATAACCACAGTAATGAAAAAGGTAAGTCACTCCTCAGCCATCAGATGGAAGAATAACTGAGAAACTATTTTAAAGGGTTAAAATCAAGCGTGGACATTAATACTGGAGTAAGAAGATGACTTGAATGTGTTACCTGTTGGCATTACAGCTACTTAAACTACCATCTTGGGTCTGCACTTAGGACAAATAAATATTATTCATATTTTTAATTTCATAAAAAAGCAAATATGAAAAATACACCTGAAGAAATACACACAAATTTTTTCCCTAATGGAGAAGGATGTGATATAAAAACTACAAGCCACTCTATAGATGGCGACAGATACAAAAGGAAGGATGAGGACAGGAGAGGTCCCTTAGTCCACCTCGCTATGTGGAGCTCTTGTATTAAAAAAAAATTGCATAGTAGAAATGACCAAAGTAATTTACTTGGTACTTACGGGACATAGAAAAGATGAGCTTTGAGGCCGTAATTCTTGAGAGAACTCTTAAGTAAGGGCTCCACAGAACACATAAATAATTTCAAGTCCCCTTTCATCCAGCACTGTATGTTCCAGTTTGCACCTGAATTGAAAATAAACTACATTAAATCTGAAAACCGTTCTGAACAACACAGTGACAGAGAAGAGAATTTATCAGTTCTCGGCTCTGCCTCCCGCTGCCCATTCTGAGAGAAAAGAACAACTCCAACGAGTGCGCCTTAGTCCCTTTGACCCTCGGTTTTCTTATCCTAAAGTGAGATCATTAAATTCAACCATCTCTTCTCAAACTCGTCTGTAATCTCCTGCCACTCAAGTAGGACAGAAGAGCTCAAAATTCACTAGTTCGGTTCATTTGCACTTATCAAGAGAAAAATGAACGTCAAATATCAAGGTAGAAGCAAATCTTGTTTCTGTGTTTCTGTGGCCAGATCAGAAAACAGAGGCACAGGATCCACACTGGGACTGTGATTCTCATCTTCAGTTTTTGTTACTGTAATATGATGAGCCCCAAACACAGCTGATGAAAGCGAATTTCACTGCACACTGGAGAACTCTCTCGAGCATGATGAAGCTAAACTATGGGAAATCTGTAATTTATAAGGCAGGGACAGTAACAATTGGAGACCATGACAACACCAAGGCTAACGTAAGACCACACTGACCCATTTCCGCACCACCAGAAGGTGCCCGGCTACTAGGGAATTCTGACCCTGGGAGCCCATGAAGGAAGTGGTCTACCAGGAAGAAGAATCCATGAAGCCCTCATGTGACCACTATGTAACCTAGCAATTTTAGTTACGAAAGCTTAAACTCCACTGAGAAATAACTAGTTATTAGCTCTGATTTACACTATAAAAGCTAAAACAGATAACACTAGAGTCATTACCCTTCGTCACTGAAAAAAGGTGCTAATATAGTTTACCATTCTAAGCCTCATCACTAAGACCTTGACTTATTAAGCTCATTCTTAGCATATTTAATAATCACTTGATTGGCCAAGTTAAATTGTGTTACCAATGTTTTTCACTTAAACACTCTGGGAGGCTGAGGCAGGAGGATGACAAGTTCCAGCCCAGCCTGAGCACCTTAGTGAGACCCCATCTCAAAATAAAAAATTAAGAAGGGCTGGGAACATAGCTCAGTGCAAAGGCCCTGAGTTCAATCCCAGGACAAAAAAAGAAAAATTAAAATTAAATGAATGGCTATGAACTGAGCTGGAGACAGTGGGAGTCCTTACTATTAACTTGTTTTTCAATTCTTGATTTTATTGCATAGCTACTTTTCCCTTTATTCCTAACCTGATTTCCACATACTGGAGTGTTTCTTCCATCTAATCAATAGCACTGAAGCGGGGCGATTTTTGTAGTTCAGAGGACATCTGGCAATATCTAGGGTTCTTTGTTATTACTATACCTGGGGAGGAAATGCTACTGGCATCCAGCTGTGGAGGCCAGGACTGCTGTGAGGCACCCCACGACGCACAGGGCAGCTCCCTGGGCAGGGGTAACTGGCCCAAACCCTCAAGGTATCAACTGGAAACCCGATTACCCTGCCTGGTAAAAGCTGCACTTCTGCCTGCCTGTGCTTTCAGGCTGCAGCACTCCGCAGATGGTTAGGTCAGCCGACTCTGCTCTGTTTAGCTTTTCCAGAAGAAGTGGAAATAATTGTGTTGTTTATATTTTCAGGTGTAGAATTAGTATGCCTTATACTTTAAACAACCAAAATTATCCCTTGATTTAAAATAGGCACTGTTTTAGAAAGATTCCTTGCCTGAAAAAAATCGTCATTCATAAATATTTTTAAATGCGACTAATTCAATAGTGTTACTAATAATTTGGTACTTTTTATTTAACATTAAATGTTTTTTCTGTTTCAAAGCAAATTTAGAAGACTACGAAGGTTATAATTTTTTAACATATAAGTGAATTTTATTTCTTACTTTTCAAGTTTTAATTTTTCTTGTCCATGTTTGCAGTGTATAACGGCTGTGTTGAGTTGGCACACGTACGTAACACTTCATTCCTTTCGTTCACCCCTTTCCCTCCCCCACCATCTGCTTCCCTCCAACTCTTAATCCTCCTCCTGTCTGAGAAAGATCTATCCCCCTACTTGCTATTATGTATCTTTCATTTTGTCACTTATATTTTATGTTTCTCATGTAAGAGAAACCACACGATATTTAAGCCTGTATATCTGACTTATTTCACTTAACATTATGGTCACAAGCTGAATCCATTTTTCTACAAATTACTCAAGTTTATCACTTTTTATGGCAGAGTAGTACTTTACAATGTGTGAACAACACATTTTCTTTATCCATTCCCCTGTTGATAGACACACAGGTTGTTTTCAAGATTTAGCTATTATGAATTGTGCTATTTGATATATTTAACTCTTTCAGGACGACCTCTAAAAGGGGAATAGCCAGATCAAATGGAATCTCAACTTTTAGTTTTTTTGAAAGCAAAAAGAGTTCTCTTTTTACATTCTATGGGATATTAAATAACTGGGGGCTTGTTATTAATTTTGTCACATAATGAATCCTAATTTTATTATTAATATTAATACAACAATGTATGTTAATAATCACATCCATAAGGCAACTACTTCATGTATGACAGAAAATTAAAGCACTTTGTGCAATATAGCTAAAACAGAACAGTTACTGCTTGGAACATTAAAATACCTACCCCGCTGTTGAAAAACAGAAGAATCCACTGTAGAGACAGAGGTCTCCCCTTCCACACGCACAGGGCAGTTTTTATCTTGCTCACTCCAAAAGCAACAGTGGAAAGTTGCTGGGGATAAATCAGCCATGTCGGCACCACTTGAATTAAATCTGGCTTCAACCACTGACTCATGACTTCCACTCAAATACGAAGTGTTGTTTGGCATTCCAGCAGGCAAGAGGGAGTAGTCATCAGTGTTATTTGATGGCAGGCAAGACAGTTTAAATCTCCAGGGAGTGACTGGATATGCCAAGTTAAATGCGGTTATCACATGAAGAAATTCTGGTAGGACATTCAAAAGACACAGAAAACAAGCGATCATTTAGCCTAAGACATGGCAGTAGAAAGTATCTGAGATCCAACCATGCAGTACTCGGTAATAGTCATCTAACTTTCAAGAACGAGAAACTAGAGACATTTATAGCTAAATGGATGCACATTGAGGCCATACTCTTAAGTGAAATAAATAGGACACACGTGTATACTGAATAGTTTCTCTGGTGTGAGAAACTAAAAGTGTAAATAAGAATCAAAATGTATAATTGATAATATGAAATAGGAAGAAAAGGTCTAAAGGAGCAGGGGAAGTGGGAAGGGTAGGGGAAAGGAAAGAAGGGAAAAGAAAAAAAATGAGAAAAGAAAAAAATGGAAACAAAGTCTCTGTAAATAGGGAAGGGAGGAGGGGGTGAAGGGAGGGCAGGGGAATGGGGAAAAAATAAGAACCAAGATGCATTATGGAAAGGTACAAGGTCCCAATGATGAATGTAACTGTACTATATACCTAAAATGTACCAATAAACTTAATGGAAAAATAAATAGTCATCTAACTTTCAAAGTGCTCAATCAACGCCTACTGAACAGTTCCTGGCTATGTGTACAGTGTGTTATTCCAGGGAGAGCTCCGTGATTTACTGAAATAACTCTGCTCTCTGGTACCTCTCTTTGGAAATTCATACATCATTTTTCCTCATTAATCTAACATCTTATATCTATCTATCTATAATATACATATTATTTTTTGGTACCAGGGACTGAACTCAGGACCTTGCACTTGGGCAGGCGCCGGAACCACTGAGCTAAATCCCCAGCCCCCTTATATCTACATTTTAATGAAAGAAATTAACAGTAAATATTCTAGTTCCCTTTTGTATAACAAAATTATTCTACTTTCTAGCATAAATGAGCAATATCTGCATGTGCACTGATATAAACAAACATTAAAGAGCTCTTTTAATATTTATTACCAACAGCAACAGCAGAATGTTGGTGGTGCCTCCTCCATGATGTATAGAGAGGGTCCGTCCATGATGTGGAGACAGCGGGACCATCTCCCAAATCTGCCCATGTCCCTGGACACAAGACATCATACAAAGGAGCCCTGGCCCACTCACCCAGAAATGACACCCAACAGACTGTCCAGGGAGCTTCAGCTGCAGATTAGTCATCACTTTTTAGACACAAAGATCACATTTTTATAGCCCTGTACCCCCCAAAAAAATCCTCAAATATTAAGTGTATCTCTAAATAACTGTTTGAAAATAAAACAGTTCATCTTTAGGATTTTTTTACCCAACAACTTTGTTGCCATATATACACACTAATGGAGAATGAGAATCTGAGGATTGTGTATGGTACGGGGATCTCGAAGGATTATGGGAACATAAACATGTAAGAAACCAGGACCAGGACACTCTCCTGCAGATGAATGGAGGCATAAACTGCAGCACTTTGAGATGAAGGAATATTTTTGAGTTCCAAAAAGAAATGAAATATGAAAAGATAGAGAGGAAACTTCAATGCACATTATTAGGAAAAGAAGTCAGTTGAACAGGCTGTGATTTGGACTATGTGACACTCTGGAGAAAACAAAACTGTGAAGATATTTAAAGGACTAGTGGTTGTGGTGGGGTAAGTAAAGTGGCACACAGAGGGGGAATCAGGCCGGGAAACAACTGCACAAACCTGTATGATCCTGTGTGATTGTGTCAAAACCCACAGAGCACACAAGACTGAATCCTAATTAAACCAAAACAAAGCCTGTTAAAAATAGAATACAGCAGAAATGTTTCAAAAGCAATTATAATTTTTTTCAGTACTAGGGATTAAACCCAGGCCCTTTTACTAAGCTCTATCCCCAATGCTTTTTTATTTTTACTTTAAGACAAGGACTCTCTAAGCCACACAGTTGCCCTAGGCTGGGTTCAAACTTGTGATCCTCCTGCCTCAGCCTCCCAGTGCTGGGATTATAGGCATGCACCAACATGCCCAGCTCAGAAATATATATATGGGGGGGGGGGGGGGGCGGGTACCGGGGATCAGGCCCAGGTCCTTGTGCTTGCTTAGCAGGTGGCAAAACCACTGAGCTAACTCTCTGGCCCTCAGAAATATATTTTTAATTTTTAAAAAATCAATATAAGTAAAAATATGTAAATAATGCATAAGTAATAACTGTTAGTGACTTAGTTTCTAATCCTCTCTACAAATACAAATTAATATAAATATGCATAGATAGATCTTTTGCAAATAGGAAAGAGGCCAACAGATAGAGGGAGGGAGGACAGGAAGGAGGGGAAAGAGAAGAAGAGAATTAAGATGTGTTATGTACATGCACCAACTCCCCACATGAACGTAACCAGCACTTACTGCAAACATGACAAATAAAAATGAAAACTCATTAACACGAGTTACATTATTATGTTCACAATGATAACGATTAGGTATCACACCACCACAAAACCAATTCCTCATTATGACTGTGTTTCTTTGACGTTCCTTCTTCTGACATATGCTTCTGAAATCAGAACGTCTATGAAGGCAGAATTGTGTTTTGTTTTTTAAAAAAAAACCATGAATGTGCAGTACTGCTGATGGAAACCATTATGTTTTCTAGCTGCACGGGGAAGATTCAGTGAGCTGAATTGAAATTAGCCTGACATTCTCAGAGTACCGAAACCTAAAAAGTACTAATGAACTAACAAACACAGCAGCAATTGAACCAGTGTAACGAAAAGATGAGCCTATTTTGTCTGCACACTTCCTCTGCAAATGATATTTCTTCCCCTCAGAATGACTCCCAAACAGTGACAGATTCAGAACCGTCATCTGGCGACACATGCTATCAGACAGCAGGGATCCAGGGTTTCATCTCGTTCCTAAGATGTGATCAAACCACGAACTTTTCAAAAAGCCAATATGGAACTAAGTAGAAGCCAATAAAAATCGCAGAATCTGAAAGATAATGTGTGTGTGGTTCCCTTAAATATATACAATAAAATTAATGAAGAATTTAAAAGATAATTATTCCTTTGATGACCCCAGCAGCATGGTTTTCTGACATCTCTATGAGTGGAGCTATCCTGGGTGCTTCCAGTAAGGACCCAGATGGCCACAATGAGAAGGGACAGCATGACAGCAAGGAGAACTGCAGAGATCCTTGAAGGCCACCTGTACCCTGAAGCAACAAGAGAGATCTCCAGAGCTAGCTGACACCGACACCGGGGAACAGTCGCCAGATAAAATAGGTTTTGTTAAAGATAGCCTGACCTGAATTCCAAAACCTTGAAACATAACTAAATTAGATGATTCAAATTTAAGAAAATCAGAATATCACCAGAATATAGTGAGAAATCAGTGAGAACCACATGCCCAAATGTTATCCATAATGGGAGAGGGTGGAGCCAGATGGCAGAAAAGGATTCTCCAGCAATGATTGCTCAGCAGAAACATCAGTTGGGACAAACTGTCCCACATTAAAAATCTTCTCAAGTGCTAAGGAAACCAGGCGCAAATACATGGGAGGAGGAAGAAGGGACAGTTTCAGACCATCTGCATCACACTACCCCAGGAAGCATGGCGTGGACACAGACACGGTCTCTTGGGGAAAAGACAAGGAAACAGGCGGAAGCATCACCTTGGTCCCCAACACCAGTTCTGCCACAGTAACTCCGGTGCCAGGCAGACACCCAGGTGGAACCTGCAGACTGAGCCTCCCGACCTGCCCTGGCACAATGGGCCTGGACCCACCACAGGCTTCAGACAAACCTCGGAGGCCAGCAAGCTTCAGTGCCCACAGGCTGCAGGGACATCCAATGCTGTGTCAGCCCTGGTGGCCAGGAGATACCTGCCCGGCGCTGGGCACCCCGGCAGTGCTAGCCCACTGCACAGACCTGCCCAGGAGCTCTGCACAGGCTTGGTGCAGAGGGTTCCAGCCAAGGCCAGTGTACAAAGTCCAGAGTACTTCTCCAGTGCACAAATATCAATACATTGCCACCTGGGTTAAAAGCAAGCAGAGAAACGGGGTGTCAACAAATGAACAAAATCAGCCACCAGGACTGATACTAAGGAATCATATGAATTCCTTCCCAGAGAATTGCAAAATAGCTTGGTAAATTTCAAAAGCTACAGAGACGAACTCAAAGAAATAAGGAAACAGAGCAACCAGAATAAGAAAATTAATGGAGATTGAAATAGTAATAATGGTATTAAAAGTCAATCAAATCCTGGGGCTGAAAAATACAATGAATAAAATGAAAAAAGGAACCCAACATCAAGAGCAGAATGAATAAATCTGAAGAATGAATAAACTCAAAGAACAGTTCATTGAAAATGTAAAGTCAAAAACACTGAAGAAAGCTTATGAGATTTATGCAACACCATCAAAAGAGCAAAATTTTGAGTTATTGGGTCTCAGAGAGGGAATAGAAAAGGATAAAAGGGTAAAAGTTTAAAGAAGTAAGAGAAAAAAAATTTCCATTCGTGGAGAAAGATACATTTATATCTTTCCAGGTACGGAGATCAAAGGTCACAAATCAGATTCAACCCAAATAAAACAACTCAAGATACTGTATAATCCAGCTGTCAAATAAGAACCTGAAAAAAGCCAGAAAAAAGAAACAACATTCAAGAGAGTTCCAACATGCCCTGCTGATGACTTCTCAGGAGAAATTCTTACAGGCCAAGAAGCACTGGAATGGTAATTTCAATGTGCTGCAGAAAAACAGAACAAAACCCTACCAACCAAGAACGCTGTTCCCAGCAAAACTATTCCTCAGAAACAACACAAACAAAATCTGGGAGAGTTCATTACCACCCACCCTGTCTTATAGGAAATCCTAAAGGGAGTTCTCCAAGCTGAAAAAAAAAATAACAATGCTAATGAGTAACATGAAAGTATAAGTCTGACTCATCAGCCTCAAATACTGTAAACCTGGAATGGTGGGGATAAATCACTTACATCTTTAGTAAGAAAGATAAAAGATAAAACAAAAATAATAACTATAAAAACTTAAGAGATATGTAACAAGAAAGATGTAAATTATAAAATTAAAAATTAAAAATGTGAGGACAGGAATGAAATGAAAGTGCCGGGATTTTACACTCAAAATTAAGATGTTTTTGGCTTGAGAGCATTTATTACAAATATGATACTGTTTGGAATTGGCAAGGAAAAATAAACCTATAACAGATACACTGAAAATAAAAATCAAGGAATCAAAATACGCCACTAAAGAAAAATCATCTGATCACAAAGACAGTAAGAGAGGAAGTGATAAGGAACAACTAGAAAGCAAACAAAAAATGGTACTGATCAATAATAACTTTTGAATCCAAATGTATTGAGTTTGCCAATAATTAGTTGTTCCATGGATTAAAATAAGATTCAAACTATATACTTTCTACAAGAGATTCATTTTGCCAGGTGTGGTGCACACCTGTAATCCCAGTTACTCTCAGGAGGCTGAGGCAGGGGGATTGTAAATTTGAGGCCAGCCTAGGCAACTTGGTGAGACTGTCTCAAAATAACATAAAAAGGGCTGGTGATGTAGTTCAGCACTAGAGCATTGGCCTAGCATGTGTGAGGCCCTAGGTTCAAATACCAGTGCCAAGGGAGGAGAGAGAGAAAGGAGGGAGGAGAGAGAGAGAAAGACTGACTGACTTTTCCTGAAAGAACACACACAAGTTGACTGTGAAAGAATGGAAAAAGATATTCCATGCAAATGGAAATCAAGATAGACCAGGAAAAACTATGCTTATATCAGATAAAATAGACTCTAAGTCAAAACTGTAAAGAGAGAAGAAGGTAATACAGTAGGAAGATATAATAATTGCCAATATATTTGCAACCAACATCAGAAAACCTAAATATACAAAGCAAATTACTGGGCCAGGGATTTAGGTCAGTGGTGCCACTACCTGTCTCACAAGCACAAGGTCCTGAATTCAATTCCTGGTACCCCCTCAAAAAAAAACCAAAGCAAGTTATCAATGTACCTGGAGGGAGAGAAAGACTATAGTAAATGATAGTAGGAGACTTCAGCACCTGACTTTTAGCACTAGACAGCTCATCCAGGCAGAAAAACCAAGAAAATAACAGACTTAAACCACACTGCAGACCAAATGAACCTTACAGGCACATACAGGACATCCCAGCCCACAGCTGCAGAATACAAAATCTTCTCCACTATACAGGGAACATTGTCTAGGCTGGATCATATGTTGAGCTACAAAACAACTTTAACAAATTTAAGGCTGAAATCCCATCAAGTGTCTTTTCTGGCTACAGTGATATAAAACTAGAAATGAACAAGAGAAACTTCAGAAAATTTGCAAACAGATGGAGATTAAACAACATGATCCTAAGCAGCCAGTGGGTCCAGGAAGAAATTTCACAGAATACCATGCAACCATAAAAAGAAGGGCAATCTGACATTTGCAACCATGTGCAGAAACCTGGAGGACATGAAGCTAAAGGAATAATCTGGGCACAGAAAGACAGATGCCACATGGTCTCGCTCACACATGCAATCTGCAAAGCAGATCTCAAAGAAGTCAAGAGGAGATGAGGGTTATAAGAGGCTGAGGAGGTTCCCCAGGTCAGGAAGCTAGGGAGCTGCCAGTTGAAGCTAGAGAGGAGGAGTAAATCCAAGATCTAATTACAGTTCGGAGACCGTAATGATGATTTGTTGTGTTGGTGAAAATGCTGACAGATGTTAAATGTTCTCACCACAAATGTGAGGCAGTGCACTTGGTAATTAGACTGAACCACTGCATGAAGCAACCTCAAAACATCACGTTGTACAAGCTAAATACATACAATTTCATATGTCGATATTTTAAATAAAAATAGAATTTTAAAAAGAACTAAAACAGAAAATAAATAAATGAAAAATAGGTTTTCCTGTTTTAAGAAAAGGTTATTGATAATGTGACTAACTTCAAAAATAAGATTGTTATGGCTTGCAGCAGTTAAAAAAGCAAGACATTCAAAGATCATGTGAGGCTTCCTCTGTAAGGCAGTCCTATGGGAGTGAGTGGAGGGACAGGTGTGCATTTAATTTCTTACTCTATCTTTTTGGTTTCTGGTTTGGTTTGGTTGGTTGGTTGGTTTCGGTACTAGGGATTGAATCTAGGGCCTTCACACTAACCTCCATCCTCAGATCTTTGTAAAATTTTATTTATTTTCGATACAGGGTTTCACTAAGTTGCCCAGGCTGAGCTATAATTTGCAATTCTCCTGCCTCAGCCTCCCAGAGCACTGGGATTCTGGGCATACACCATGATGCCCAACTATTTAATTTCTTAAAGCATTCTGATGACATTTAAGATGGCCATTTCCAATGCTAACGCTTTGCCTCAATGATGTCCCCTGATAACAATATTTGCCATCACTTCCCAGAGTCACAATGGTAAATAGCTCTTAAAACATCCTCACTGTTCTGTTTGAGAATAAACCCATCACTTTGTGTCACAGTCATTTATTGTCAACATTATCACCAAATAAACTGCTTCCCAATATAAAGCAGATGTTTGACTATCATCTGATATACATATATTTATAATTGAATGTTAAATTTGTTAAATAAAATTAAAATATTTAAGTGCCATTCTATCTTATTTCTGAGTGTTCATATATAGGTATCAGTGTGTACATATACATTTTCTGTACTGTAAAAGAAAATAAAGTTTAAAAGCAAATAATGGGCAGTGAGAAAATATTTTTAAACACAGCAAGTTTTTAAGGCTCGTGAAGATGTGCATCTGCACTGGTTTGTCGGGGCCTGCAGGATGCCATGGGTCAAGCATCCTTCTCGGTGTGTCTGCGAGGACACTCCGGGGCAAGAACTTCTGAACCCACAGACGCTGTCCATGGTGTGGGCCACCTCATCCAATCACCAGGGGACTCCTGGGCCTGACTGCTCGGAGCTGAGCTTGAGCCTTCTCCTGCCCCCGGACCGCAAGGGAAACATGGGTTCTTCTTGGGGGTGCAGAAGGAAGCTGCACCTCGGGTACCTGGTCCTCAGCCCTCCGGATTCAGACTGGAACCATTCCCATGGCGTTCTGGGCTCCAGCCTGCTGACTGTAGATCTCGGACTTTTCAGCCTTCATAATTACCCACCCCAGTTCCTTATAGTAACTCCCTCTCTCTGTGTGTCTCTCGGTCTCTCTGTCTCTCTCTCTCTCTATCTCTATGCACACACACACACACACACACACACACTCACACTCATTGTTTCTGCTTCTCTGGAGACCCTTAACACAGCACTAAATATCTATTACATTTTAGAAATTTCTAGCATTTAACTGAGACCAATAAAACTCAACAACAGGTGAAAATATATGAACTCAAAAATCAGAAATATAACTGGTTAGTAAACTGCTCAACCTCGCAAATATCAAACAAATAAAATTGAAATGCCAAAAAGTAAAGAATGGTAACAGGATGATAAGTAAAGAACAGTAACCTGCATCTTTGGTGGAAATACAAAGGAATAGCACTCTCATATATGTTTATTGGAACAGCAAAGGATGCAAACCATTCTAAGGAGACTTCCCAGTATCAAATTTTAAAATGTGCACACTATTCAAAATAGAAATTCCTTCTTAGGAGCTAAACTATCTTCCAAGTATACAAAGATACATATATGGGTTTTCAATGCAGCATTATCTGTTAAAGAAAAGGAATGCCTATTGATCAAGAATTGGCCAGGTACATTTATGTGATACACGGTCATCTGACTACTACATAAATAAGTTCACCAATAAATATTGATAAGGAAAACTGTGATGATAAATTAAAAACCTAAGTGGAAAAAGCAGCATGGAAAACAAAATGTTTGCAATTGTAGTTATGGGGGTGATGCGCACGTGCACGTGTGTGTGTTTGTGTTAAAATCCTGGTAAAATACACTTTTGAGTCATGTTTAGGAGATTGGGGGAGGTTTTCATTTTTACATTTACAGTTTTGTTGGTTGTATTTTTCGTCATGAGCTTGCATGAAAATTTTGAGCTGGAAAAAGAATATTCTGTTAATCAATAAGGAAATGGCATCTCTACGAGCAAAATCTCTGCTTGACATAAAAATAGCAAATAACTTACCACAGTGTAACAAAGCCACAGAGAATGTTTGAAAAATCATTTTTCTTCAGAGATGTGCACCGGATGTTAGTAAATCTACAACAAAAGCACACACATAGGAAAACACATGTATACAAGTTGTCTTTGAGAAATATAAAATGACTATAAATATGTCCTTAAATTGTAATCCTCTGTAACAGAAGTATTCCTTGTTCAATCATGTTACAGACTTATTGCTATACTCTTGCCAACTTACATAGTTAAAATATAAGCCAGGAAAAGAGCTTTCAGTCTCCATATATTCCAAGTATCACAGGATAAGACTGAATTGTCAACTAAACAAACGTTTTCACAATGCTGATTAAATATGTAACTGCCAATGTAACGCCATTAATATCACTGTCTTCACGTTGTTTTCATGCTCAAACTTCATGCTTAAATACCCTTTATGTTCTAAAACCTTCCTCTTTTATAAGATACTACAAAGACAAATGACTATACACAGATAATGACATAAAGAGTAGAAAACCATCCAAAGTGGTTTTTGAAACCTATTATTTGTTTGCAGACAAGGTGATGTTCACCTTGAAGAGTTGGTGGAGTAATTCCTGAGAGGTCTCATGGCAGTACGTCCAAATGCTAGAGATAGGCCTTCCCATGAACGCCACTCAATTTGAAATACGTCACATGAGGTTTGTTATTGGCGCTGCTGCATCACGAATTAGAAGAGTAGTCAATCTTCCACGTATTGGGCTTGGACTCGCGGTTTAGATGTCTCACTCTTTTTTATGACCTCTGACTGCGAACTCGGTTCTCCACACAGGTGCAATCTGCAGTAAACACGGGCCAGGACTCAGGGTGTCGGGCTAGGCTGCTCTGACGATCAGGGTTCTCGCCTACAAATCAGACTGCAGTAGGTCTCTACAGCCCCTTCAGAGCTGTCTATGACCCTGAGACGTTATATTTGAAAACAGAAATCACAGTTTTCCTGCAAAGAATATAAAATTAAGAGACAAGCATGTCTCATAACTCATACCTGAGAAAGGGCACCAAGTGACAAGTAATAGAAAGGGGAGCAGGTTTCATGGTCGCACAACTTACATACTCTTAGGAGGAAAAGAGATGAAAATAAATAATCTTCACTCTAGTATATTTGTTTTTCACATTATCAGTTTTTCATGAGATTTTCGTTCCTTACAACTCTCATCACAACTTCTGTCTAGCATCTCTAGAAATCCTTTCCATGCCTGGAATCATCATGCATTCATTACACCAACATGAGCAAAGTCCCATTTTTTGTTACCTCTATTAGTTATTTTTTTATCTCTAGGACAAAACAGTGTCCAACACCTGAAATTTACAGGAGAGGTTTATCCACATACCTCCTCCTCAAATGACTCTGTCACTAATTCGCCAGTCATGCTCCCTTCAAGTCCTTGACCATTTAGTCAGACCACTGGCTACAGCCCATGAATTGGTATATTAAGTAGCACATCTGGACATTTTCTCTTCCAAGCAAAATATATTACTAGCTGAAGGCCTGTGCAGGAGATCAGCTTGAAACCACACCAGCAGGCTTCAGATATTATTGATGTGGATTATGAATTCAAATTATGAGTCGCTCCAAGGCCTAAGTGTGAATGGCTAAATGAGCCTTCGGCTGGTGTACAGAGACAGACTTCCCTATGCCAACCCACAATTGAGATCTCAATGATCAATGAGGTTGCGATGTCTCTAACAGCCAGGAAACACTGCAGCTGAGGAACTAAGACTCTGTGCAGCCATTCTCCACAATCAAACGTTAGCTAAGATCATGCAGGTGGCTCATTAGCCGCAACCTGCAGTAGCACAGGTGGCCTGTTACTTGTGACCTGTCCTTCACAGGTATGCATGGCTCCTCCCCTTTACAGCCTGGCTCACTGTGCATCAGGTCTGCTGTTCCCTGCATCTGCCCTCAAGCCCCCAATGTGCTGTAGGATCATAAACCCTGACTGATCCCGAGCCCACGGTCTTAGCCAGGAGAGCTAAAATCAGGCGGCCTTTCACCAGGAGAGAGCTGAGATCAATTCCCGGCCCCCCCCCCAAGTAATAAACTATCGTTTGTTACTCTTTATTTCTTGTTCTTTGTATACTATTCTTTCACCCCCTGCTGCTCCCTCATTCAGGCGATTGGGCTTCAACCAATAACTAACTGGTAGACAAGCTATCAACCCATCAGAGCTGTCCAGTGTGAAGATTTCCCTTCACCACTGTGCTGCAGGGATGTCCTGGACAGGGGCTATAATGCTGCCGTGTCCACTTGCAGATGGTGCCTGCATAACATGCAGAACCATCTGTAAACCAGGCCCTCACCTCCTCTTCCTCTGACTGCTGGTCATATGGTGCACCCCGTGAGGCCACAGGTGCATGCTGGGAAACAGAAGGCAATATAGCAGGAGTAGGAGCCGTGGGCTTCTGGACCACTTCTTCATGTAACTTACTTGTGCCCTCTGGACCTGCCCTGGCCCAATTACATATATACCGTTTCCATTTAATGACAAGACTTGCTGTGCACGTCCAACCTTACAACTCGGGCATCACATAATGCCCACCTCATGATGGGCATCTCAGGTTGCATGGTAACCTGGGGTCCCATGGTCAAGCATTCAGTTTCCACTAAGGACCAGTAGCAGGCCAGCAGCTATTTTTTGGGGTTTATTAATTGAAAGTTTGCACTTTACATAATCTCTCTTAGTTCTTATTTTTCCCCCTTCCCCTGCCCTCCCTTCAACCCCTCCATCCCTCCCTATTTACAAAGAATTTGTTTCCATTTTTACATTTGCTCATATGGATTCCATTTCCTTCTTTCCTTTCCCCTACCCCTCCCACTTCCCCTTCCCCTTTGCCCCTTTTCTTCCTATTTCACATTCTCTATTATACCTTTTA